TAGTCCAGTCAAGCAAGTACCATATGGGACTGTGTGCACCACGAGCATGGGAAAGGGCCAGACCAACGAGCTACAAAAGTATAAATCAAAGGGCAACGTCCAACCATATATTGATTCCTGTGTAAGCCATGCGGAAGCATTGCCACAACGACTTGTGCGAGGTGGTCTGCAGTGAGCCCGAAGACGAAGTGGGCGAGAAGGAGCTTAGCCATAGCGATAGGTTAGCAACAGCCATAGCCGCCATAGCTGTAGGTAGAGTGTAGTGTGTGTGTGTGTGTGTGTATGTGTGTTCAGAGTATCGCGTGTGGGATATCCTGGGTGATCCTGTGTGTGTGCGAACAGATAGTTGTGTGGGCGCTTTGTCGCCATAGCTGTTGAAGTGAATTTGTACCTTAACTACATTCTTGGCTACCATATCTCTGAGTTTCGAGTGGGCGCTTGTCGCTAGTTTGCTGCGCACCTGTTTGCATGCATGTGAAGAGTGAAAGATAGCGAGTCTGATTGCAAACATCAATCAGCCCATGTAAGTCTTTTGATCATTGGATGATAACACTTGGACTGTCATTTCATAATCATATTCAGCGAGGACCGGGGTTTTACAAATTCAATGCCTCTTTGCTTGCCCTCCCCTGATTCAAAACCCTGGGTAATGACTTCTGGAAATATTGGCAATCCCAGAAACCCTCCTCAGAGGAAAGAGTGAAATGGTTTAATGAGGGAGTTGCACAATTACGAGAAATAGCGAAAAAATTCTCATCCAACATGCGAGAGACTGCAAGGTCAGTCATATATTGAGCAGCAGGCACAAGCATGGAGGGTGCATGCCAAAATTAAAAAACAACAGACAGATGGGACAATGGCAAAGGCCTTTTTCAACAAGGCCAGGGCTAGGATAAGAGCTGCTACTGTTCTCAGGCTTAATCACCCTCTGGACAACAATGCCTTGCCTGCAACCAACACTTGTTCAATTGTGGACTACCCAGCTAAATATTATAACAATCTATTCACATCTCAGACACCCACTAAACATCAAGATGAGGTCCATCAAGCGAGAGACATGCTACTACAGGCTATTCAATCCTCTATAACAAAGCAACAAAGGGCCACCTTGGACGAACCCATGACCTCACATGACGTTTGGGTTGCCCTACATGATACGGGGGATGAGAAAACGCCTGGGATAGACTCTTTCCCGAAAGAATTTTGGGTTGGTTTTTGGGACCTCCTCAAGGATGATCTCATGGAGTACATACAAGCGATTCAAAAGGAAGGATCCTCGGGAGGAATGATTGGCCAGGGGTTACTACCCTCCTCTAGAAGAAAGGGGACAAAGAGAACATCAGAAACTATAGACCCATCACTCTTCTTTCGGTTCCCTACAAACTTGTGGCTTAAGTTCTCACTAACAGACTGTTACCTTTTATGAATATGTTGATTCACCCGGACCATTTAGGATTCATGCCCAATCGGAACATCCAGGATAATATCGTGTTGGTGTATGAGACCATCAAATATGCCCGCCAACGGAGGGTCCAAGCTGTGATCCTCTTCATAGACTTCGAAAAGGCATATGACCATTTTGATTGGGACATCCTTGACATGTGCCTGGTGAAAATGAATTTTGGTCCGGTCTTTTGTCGATGGGTGCACTTGTTGCACAGATTTGCGTCGACCAATATATTGCTAAATGGCCATCTCTTTCACTGCGACAGAGAGATCCCATCGCACCATTGCTGTTTGTGATTGTCATGGAGGCCCTTGCATCGATGATTAGAGCGCATCCGCGTATCAACAAAGTGCCAATCCCGGACATACCGCACCACCTCATACCAGTGACAACACTCTGCGCGGACGATCTCACCGTACTAATACGAGCAGACCCGGACAATGTTCAAGCTCTCAACCAAGTTATTCACCTTTTCTCGCTTGCGACCGACATGAAAGTCAATTGGGGTTCAAAGACTGAGGGCTGGTGGCTCCATCCTCAAGGACAGCCACCCCCACCTGAGTCGAGTGTAGCATGGGCTCACAAAGAAGAAGCCATAAGGATACTAGGAGTGAGACTGACTGGTTAACATGGTCCTAGACCGACTGGCCAACTGGGAGGGCCTGCACACATCATTGGTGGGACGCGCCTTAGCAATCAATAGTGTGGTCTTGGCGGCGATTTGGTATAAATTGGCAGTATGGCCATTGACCAACTAACAACACGCAAGACTAAAGAAAGCCCTTACGACGTACCTGTGGAAAAACAGTGCTAAGACTCAGGGTTGCGTCAACTGAGTGAATTGGGATTTCCTCACACAACCATCCAAAGGGGGCCTGGGAATATTGGATCCTGAAAATGAGACTTAGGCACTTATTTTTAAAGTCCTCGTCCGTCTCCTTATTGGAAATGACATTCATCGGAAGCCGTTTGCCTGCTTGCAAATGGCCAACCTTCCTCCACAAAATGATATATCTGGAAAGATCCACCCGTTCCAATGGCCGACGAACAAGCACTGGACCATCCCCTCGCCCCCAAAACAAGCACACCCTGCATACCCAGCTGACCGGCACACGCCGCAAAGCTGGACATAACGGCAGATTCGCTCTGGCCTTATGTAATCAGACTTTGGAGACAAGGGGTCCCCAACAAAAACATCCCCCGAACACGTGGCACGATGTATGGAGGCAACCACTCTTTGGCAACCCGCATATTTTACAAGAATCAGGCCAACCCTTCCTTCTGACAACGAATTCCCCATGGCTGATTTGGGCCAAGAAGGGTGTTTTCACGGTCAGAGACCTGTGGGATGCAGTGAGAGGGGAGTGGGCAACCCCTGGCCAGCTGCAACAAAAACTTAAACATGTTAAAAATGTAGAGGAAAAGGCAGGCCTGCTAAAAGAGGCTCTTCCAATCGCCTGGCGGCTCACCCTGCAGGA